TCTTCTGGATCCGAGACCTCTGCACTATGGCACAGCACATGAGGGAGGGGGGGCGGGGCGGAAGCATGCCCATCCACCTCCATGACAGATGCAGCTGTTTCTTAACTTGGGAGTTTAGGCCTTGCTTTTCATGTTTCAAGGTTCCTAGCTGAGTCATCTGCATCGTCCCGAGCGCAGATATGAATCAAACTCGGCCAGCCTTCCCAAACGCCCCTTTAGCGGACATGACAGGCCTTCGCCCGCAGAACTGACAAGTCATCTGGGGACACTTGTGCGAACACCTCCTGTCGAGGGCCATGGTGCTAGTCGTGTTGTTTCTTGAATTCTGGGCCTCTGACGTGGGAGAGTTGAAGCTCAGCCTGAGAGTCTTACACAATCTTCGAGTGGCTTTTGGGACGGGCTTCTTGCTCAGAGCAATGCGTGGTTTCTTGTGCCACCTGTGAGTCGACTTTCGCCTCCTTGGCGAGCGAGTCGCAATGCCAGCACTACACTTTAGACCGGCGTGCGAAGCGCGACGTGACGGCAACCGTGTCCATACAACTCGGGGAATACGTGCCGCATCCAATTAAAGGTCTCTGCCCTGGATCCCAGATCTAAGATTGCTTCCGGATGCTTCCGGAGGCTCGGAAAAGATGCATGAGAATCCATGCTGAGAAAAGGTAAAGCCTCCACCATGACACTCGTCTCAAACAGCCATGATTCCTTCTAAGTTTGGAGTCGGAACCGGAAATGCCCCAACTTCCTCCTTCCTTTAGGGCTAGCCAGATGGTCTTGAAGAAGATCGTGTCTTCTCTCGAAATTCGAACAATGCAGAATCCCAGGATGTAAAGCCCTTTGTGGAGCTCCAAGAGAATCTAACCACACACCCTAGGCCCACCATTGTGGAATACACCTCGAAGTTGAAAGCTCGGCCACGTTTCCTAAGCCCAAAGACCACCGACTCCCGAGTCCCACCAGCTACTCGGCCCCAGCTCCTCGACGCGCTCTTCAAGGGCGACCCCTTGGGGCACCCCAACGGGGCCAAAAGCAGCTGAAAAGGCAGATGCTTCGAATGGGATGCCTAAACGGCAACTGCGCAGCTACAACTTGACAATAGGAATCGTACAACACATGTTATTGTCAAAAAACCATAACAATAAAAAATAGAAAATCGTAATCATAGCAATCATAGAAAGCACGGAAATAGAGAGACAACCGAACAATGAAATGATGGTAGTACTGGCAATCATGTCAGTTCCATAGACCTTCCCAAGCAGGTGGTTCTGACTTTGAGGGAAAAGGAAAACACTGGTGTATTTGGGCTCTACGGCATGAGTCCGGCACAATTCAACACACCGCGCCTTCCAGCTCCAGCAGCTCTGGCAGGAGGCTGGGCGGCTCCTGGCTTCAATTGTCAAAGGGTCGGTGCCTTCCATCGGTGCTTTTGGGAGCTTCTAGGGGGTATACTTGGGCTTCAGCCAATCACAAGCCAAGCAAACAAGCCTCAAAGTCATGTATCGGAATCCCTGATGCGCACGAGCCAAGCGCGGGGTGCCTCCAGCACGGGCACTTCGGATGGAGCAGCGCCTACACAAGAGGCTAGAACAGGGGGGACCCGTATGGCCTAAGCTTTGACAGCACTTCCCTCCCAAACCCCAAAACCCCAACACCCAAGAAGCCCTCGTCTCAAAGGCACCTGCAACTGAAACCCGATTCCACATGCCCTCGCGCCCCTCCCCTCCCCACGGGCGTAAAGTAGTGCGCTTCGGTGCGGCTGGCTGAACAAAGCTTGGTGCCGCCCACAAGGCTACCGTGACCTGAGACTTGGGTGGCATTTGTGTGGCGTGCAGTGGGTACAGGACAGCCTTGTCAGGCTTGTTTTGGGAGTTTGGGGGGCAGTTCACGACTGCTTTTCCAGCAACCTGTCCCGTGTCCTTACACATAGGACCGATAGCTTGACTCGAAGGGGCAAAGGCAAAGGGTTAAATGCAAACCCAGCGGAACAACAGAGGCGCAGAACTGGCTAGCCCAAGAAGCACGCCTTGATGGTGTCGGTTGAGGGAGCCAACACGAAGGTGTGCTCTACAAAGTGCGCGAAATGTACACTGGTATTCTCTGCCGTCCCTAAGAAGATCTCACATATGTGTTAAGAATTTGCGCTTGCTTGCTTCCTCCTTGCGACCAGTGCCAATTTCAGCATCCTAATCGAACGGCCACCAAGGAAAAATGCCAGCTAGCTTCTGCTTTTGCACCTGGTATGTAGCGACTCAACCAGGACGGAAGCAGGAAGCAAAACCCGTGAGCAGCACAGGCTTAAGCTACAGCAGCGCACTGTCAACTGTCACGCGCTGAAACTACTGGCCCAGAGCCAAGCCCAGTGGCCACAGCCAGGCGCACTGTAAGCGGCGGTGAGCGAGGTGCCATGGGTGGCAATGAACAGATACTGTCTTGCCCAGAGAAGCCTAGAATCATTCAAGTCGGGTTTCGGGCCACGGCATCTCCCTGCACACTGGAGCAGTCTGGATCAACTTCGTGTAGCATTGTAGGGCCGGGCTTTTGCACGCTGATATGATACCTCTACATCTCCTGTGTACAACAAGGCCCTGTGAAGGCTTTTCAAAGGTCATGAACGTATACATGCTGTGTAGACAGTATGCATATAGGGCGGGGCAGACATGCCGAAAGTTCCATCTTGATACAAACTCAGAGCCCGTGGTCCGCAGCTTGAAGTTCTGGCATGTGGGGGTACAGCTTCCAGTCTACGAAGGCTTCCACTCATTGTACTTCGAATAACTTAGTTAGCTAGATTCCCATGAAGCCATGCGTGCTGAGTGAGCCTGTCGCACTCTGCTCTGTGATCAAGGGCACATTAAGCATTTCAATCGCAGGAAGGCATATCAGCATCATCATCATCATCATCATCACCATCACATCATCATCATCATCTTCATCATCATCATCTTCATCATCATCATCATCGGGAGCGGCGGCAGCAGCAGCAGCAGCAGCAGCATCAAAATCATCATCATCATCATCATCATCATCATCATCATCATCATCATCATCATCACCGTCACCCCCCCCCCCCCCCCCCTCGTCATTACTCATCATCAGCCTAAGTCAGAACACAAACCTGTATCTTGCACCAGCTCAGTGTGTTTTTTGCGTGCTGTGGCAAGATGGAGATGACTGCTGCTTCGAAAGTGTGCGGGGGAGGGGGGTGGAGGATGATGTGGTGCCGAGGCAATTTGGTTTCGATATCTTGCGCTGCCTGGAAATGAAACAGCGAAAGGTCGCTTCTCGATATTATCATGGTCACACCGTCTTTCCTTTTCGGCTCTGTGGGGTCACGAGGCACCTGCTCCGCAGATACATAAGCCTACACGCCACTATGGACTGCATGTGCAGCAACTCTTGCTATCAGGAACGTTCACACACCAACTTCTCATCAAAGTGAAGGAGGTAGGAATTTTGTTTGGGAGCTTACTTGAGGAGGGGGTTTGGCAAAAGCTCATGTTGTCAACCTTTCACTCAGGCCTTCCAGCCACAGATTGCCCGGCATGCCACTACCAATCACGTCACCATGTGTTACCAAATCGAGCAGTCTGTATGGAATGCTCCCAAGGTCTTGTAAAGCAACAGCACCCGCCAAAGGAAGGGCGGCCCAAAACTAAAGTTGCGCTGCGGTTTTTTTCAAGTTGTAGGTTCAAGAACAGTCTAGGACATACGCTACAACTCGGAATGGCTCATCATGAATTTGCATTCCTCCCTTGAGCTCCGGGGCAAAACTGCAGATATCCAAGTAGGCCTGCAGTGCCCAGCATTGCGGAACCCACCTGCTAGCTCGCATGGCTCACGCGTCCGCCTTGACCCTGGCAAGTGTCAAGATTCCATGGGTGCCAGATCCCATCCCGTACGAACGCTACACCTTCAAAACCCAACAGCTTAGCCTCTCTGAACCACGCACGCAGCAACTTCATGAACCCTCGTGGCGACGACACTATGCTGCAAAAAACCTCGACGGACAAACTCTAACCTGATCAGCACTTTTGGACACGGGACCCTGACAGCCGACACTCCGAACAACTGCCCGCAAAGCACCTGGCACCCAAGCCCGGCTCGGACCTTGTCGTCCTTGGCCCAGCAGGGCCTAGGAAACAGAGCGGCGCATCTGCACGGGGGCTTGAAGCGTGGAACAGAATGTTTGCCGCAATAGGTAGTTGATTAATGAAGAAGCTGTTCTATAATACATCCCGTGTGGCATCCGTTCTACTGAAGGCGGCGACGACGACGACGACATAAACCCCAAACACTGATCCTGCATGTTGGCTTCTACACTCATGATCCTCATATATCCTCATCGTGCTGACACACGGCTGCATGCTGGTTATCTTCACACGCGCGAAAATGCTCAAACCAAAATCCCTACAACCTGATGTCAACCCCTTTGAGGGCCCGACGCCGCGGTGCATCGGGTCTGATGGCGATGTCACCGATGATCTGCTCAAACTGTGCCATCTCAGCCTCGACAGGATTGTAGGGCGTGCGCTCGCTCACCAAGAAAGCTTAAGCCGAAACCGAACCGTTTTGGATTGCGGGCACGCTTCACAACTTCAAGATGCAAGGCCAGTGCCCACAGTAAACAAATCATCACAAGCGGTAGAAGCTACGGATGGATTAATCGATCACGACTCGGACAAGCCAGACGAGGTCCGTGAAAACGACAGAAGCCTCCATCCTAGGCAGCTTGCTCAGGATACAGCCTTCCTAGCCAATGGGGTCATCAACCCGAGCCACTCCTCCAAAAAAGCTGACCCAATGTGGCCCCGGAAAATGCCAGCAACAGGGAGTTTAGAGATGCCTAAACTGGTTTACACCAGCCAAGAGGCCGAATTGGAAAACAACAGATTGGCACTGAGGTGCATTTATCTTGTATATTGTTATTCTTGGGTGAGCGAGAACCGGCAAGGACTTTTTGCCATGAAACTCCAGCAGATCTGCGTCCGAACTCCTGAGAACACTCAGGACAGAGTGAAGCCATGAATCTTGCTGGCAATCTCCTCTGTTGGAGCCATGGTGTTTGCCTTCTCCACTTCTCCACTTGCAGCCATGGTTGGCTCATCAAGCTCGCCACCAGGCTCACCAAGCTCAAGCCCCGGCTCTGCCAGATCTGTCGGCTCCGCCGGAAGATCTGTCGGCTCCGCCGGAAGATCCGTCGGCTCCGCCGGAAGACTTGTCGGCTCTGCCAGAACATCCGTCGGCTCTGCCGGAACCTCCATTGGCTCTGCGAGAGCATCTGTCGGCTCTGCCGGAACATCTTCGGGGTGGTGCTCTGCCACCGGCGCCATCGAAGAGATCGGTTCCATCGCCTCGGCACCAGCTTCCGGATCGGTAGTCAGTGGCTCAGCTGTTTTGACATCGTCTTCTGCAGCCTCGGTTGCAGCCAGCTCGGTGCTTTCTACCTCACTCGGAGGAGCATCGACATCGCTCGGAGTCTCGTTGGTACTGTTGCCCGCCAAGTTCTCTTCTGCTGCCTCAAAGCGAGACTGCAAAGCTGCATCAATCTCTTCAAGCGTGTGATTGGTTTCGTTCATACTTGGGTCGTAATCTGCGAGGTCGTAGGGGTTCTTGCCCTCGTGGTTCCATGGGGCATTGGGGTCGTTCTCTTCTTCCGCGGTGAGATCCGTCTCATTGAATGACACGTTTACTGGATCAAGGTCCGGAGCTGTCTTCTCCACTACGAGAGCCGTCGTCTTCTCCGGCAAGATGAGGGCCAAGGAACCAGCGCAGAGAATGACAACCAAGAAGTTGAACAAGGCAGCCATCATGCGCTGAACTTCGTTTGGTACCTACCGAGCCAACTAGGCAGCTAGGCGGATCAGAGGATAAGAGTCGAAGCTCGAAAGTACTACAGCGCAGCACTCTTTGAGCCAGTGCCCCAAGATGCCATTCAAGGCAGAAACGTCATGATTTCACCAACCGCAGCCCTCAAACCGATGCCTGCACCCAATAGGCGTCCCCAACCAAAACTCTCTCAGCCGCTTGGAGTTCAGACTTTAGGGTTTCGACTCAACGGTCGGCCTTGTATTGCTTGATCTTCCGCCTCGCTTCGTCATCAGCATTTGCGGCGCTCGCGAACTGCATGGCTGTGTTCTTGTGGCAAACCTCGGCCACTGGGCAGGGGATGCAGCCCCAAACCCAAAACTTCCCCTTGCAACCCTGATCGGACCAAACTTGTCTCTTCTCGAGGTTGAGCTCCATATGCTCGCTCAAAGTACGTTTGGTCGTTTAGTTGTTTGCTTTAGCACAGATATTGTTGCAAGTGAAGTATTCGTCTTGCAACTTCTAACCGTTTCGAAACACTCCAGACCGATTCGGAGGTCTAATCGCTCATGCTTTGTTTGTTTTTTACCGAAAAAAGCCCAAGGAACCATTGCACCCCTGCGGCCAACATACGCCTCAGGCAGTTTTCAGTGCACTCACCCGGGGGAATAATGGCAAAACATACAGGCGTTGGAGGAGGAATCCACGCCCAGGCGCATAAACTTCATAAACAGGCTTCACCCCCCTTGGCAAGGCAAGAAGTTGAGGGATGTTGGGTCTGTTCTTCTGATGTGCCAGGAAGGGCTATGCGTCCCACAAGAATGCCCACAAGCACTGAGGGCCAGTGCGGCACGAGGGTGCTGAAGACTAGTTCAAGGCGGTCGCAAGACAGGCAAAGTGAGGAGGCAAATCCTTCCCTCAACGCTTGGAACAGAAGTCCGCCAACTTGAGGAAACGCCTAGGGCCAAAGGCCCTCGGCCTGAAAAATACCTGGCGACAGCCCTGAAAGATAAATGTTCGGCAAAAGTGCAATAAACTTACGTGCTTAAGCAAAAAGGCCCCCGCTCCTCGAAACACTACATTTTTGACCTCAATTTCTTGGTCGGTATACCGGGGAGGAAGACATTGTTGAACTGAAGATCACTCACTCGCTGGCTGCGTGACGTGGACCAGCAACGGTTTGTGTTGCTTCTTGCTGTCTGTGCAGGGTACCATGTGTGCCTTGCCTCTCTGGGGCCTTGGTGTGCTTTGTGTGCGGAGGCCTGTCTACCTTTTGAGGTCAGGACATCTGGACCCCAAGCCCTGCAGTAAGTCCAGAAAGCTCTGTCAACCAAAGGCGTCAGCACGTCAAGGACAAAGAAAGCGGCAAAAACGAATGCTGAGTCCCAGACCCTCAAGGACTGTGCCTCTTCGGGCTAGGTTTTGAGGGTTTGCAGCTTCACCACCCCAAAACCCGTTTGGCTCTCATGATTTGGACATGCCTGAGAGCGTCAGGGGCGTGATTTTTTAGGGTGTGCTGGTGGAACACCAGGCCCCAGGCCCCAGGCTGAACAGCTTCGCACTTAAAAATATTTCACCCCAATGGGGTCGCATCGGGATCCTAGAACCATGGCCGGTACCCACATCGGTAAGTGCTTGGGCCTGAATTCCAGTAGTTTAGATATGCAAGTTTGTCTTGACATGCCAGCAAAGCGTCGCTGTGCAGAATAAGTTGAGGAAGGAAAGCAAGCTACTAGATGACCACCTCTTTTACAATGAGACATGGATGCGGGATCTTGGTTTGTGGCTGCGTGGGTTCGATGAACAATATCAGGCGGCACGTAACGCGCAACTCTGACTACCCGGCCTAGCGCCTTTTTTCATGCAATTGTCTTAAGACTGTCAAGTCAAGCACACCCAGAGAATCATGAGATCGTTGGGTCATCTAAGGGGTCGGATATGATGTATGCAACATAGTTAATGTGGCCCGTGGCACTAACAGTTAGCATGCAACAATACTGGATATTCAGGTTTATGTGCTGCAGAGGCATAGAGCTCGGCAAAGGTTCAGGACCATTCAAGCCATTGCAATCATTGGCCAACGGATCCCATAGCTGCAGGCCCGTCCTGAGCCTTGTTCGGCACGGGCTCGAAGCGAAGGTCGCCATCCTCGGTGGGGACCTCAAGAGGCAAATTATGTACAGGATCGTGGATCATGACTCGCATCCAGTGCCGGCACAACGAATCAAATCCTTGCGAGACGGCTCTTCGCCAAGGGCCCGGCCCACCGGTAGGAGAACAAAAATCTCCGCGAAAACTCGTCCAGGCGCTTGGCACTGGGCATCCAAGGGTTAAGTTTTGAGTTGCTGCTCAGGCTTCAGAAGTGGGAAACTCCAAGGTCTACGGAATGTGTGTGTGCGCCGTCTGCAGGACTTTCAAATAATTATTAAGTCAGTATAGAATGGTACACTTTGCCGTCAGCTCTGCGACTGTATGGCTAGGGTTTGGTCGTTCGATTTAAACAAGGTCTGGATGCAGTCCAGCAACTACCTGCACATCGTGGGCACACACACACACACACACACCCGCGAGCGCGCACACACACACACACACACACACACACACACACACACACACACACCGACCCACACACCCACCCACCCACCCAACCACCCACGCACACACGCATGCACGTGCTTGTTCAGAAGCTCGACATCAAGTTGCATGCTGATGCCATCACACAATTAAATTCACAATTTGTTTAGACTCGACATGTAAGTGAAACAGCAAAGCCTGAAGGTGGTATCCTTCAGAGCACTTAGCAAAGACACCGACGACTCCCAGCACATCGCGGGACCCAGGAAGACTTCGAACCCCTGCCGAGCGCCGCGCTCGGGTCCAATCTGGGACCTCTGCTTGAAGTGGACTTGATGTCCCAACACACAGCTGCTTAGTCTCAGCCTTCGTCGTCACGACGATGCAGCAAACTCGAAAGGCTGCACTGCCCCAATGTCCAGAAAACCTCAACTCCTCGAACCCCGCAACACGTTTCGCGTGCGCCAAGCCGCCGCGTGACCATGAACTTCTTGCTTGTGCAGAGGTACCAGTCTTGCGTGGCATCCGGATCATGCCTCAGCAACTTGACTTCACGCAAGCTCGGGTGCACATGCTCCCAGCTGGGCTGAGGGTTTAGGAAGTTCATATACACCAGAACATGTTTTCCCAACTCTGGCCGGCCCAAGCACTCGAAGTCAACATGCCCCAATATGCCCCAACTCAACACGACTCGACAGCCCCTCTAGAGGAAGGACGACTTCACAAGACATCTATTCTGACGTGCATTTCAGGATGGTGCCATCTTGGGGCCCGAGCATGTCACAAATGCGGTCGATGTAGCCCTCCATGCGGATGTTGCTGGGTGGTACCTCCCAGCTCTTCGTCGCACGTGCTCTAAGATGCTCCAGGTGTTTGATGTTGAGGAGATCTTGTCAAGGATTAGGAAGCTTCCCCAAGACACAAACAAATTTGTGGGGACAGTATGAGCTCGCGAAGGGAGCCTAAGCATTGCAAACCCGAAGTCATACACAGTGCAGACTTTGACCCAAAAATTCGGAGCACCGACTGCTGGTAGTTCATCTCCTCGAAGAGCCGGAAGGAGGCCGGCATGTGGTCCGCACCGAAACTGAGCACATCAGTGGCGCATCGTTTCAACCGTTTCTCTCGCTTCAATCGTTCCAATCGTTTCTGCCAAGTCCGACACTTCAGAGAAACTGACGGTCGAATCACCCACGACGTGGACGAACCAAGAAGGGCTTCACAGTCGCTTGACAGTTTAGTGGCTCAAGGCCGAGGTTTCTGCACTTCGACAAGAGTCACCCCCGAACCCTTCATGCCCGAGAGTCTGAACCCGACACTCAAGCCTGCCGATGCCCACGACATCCCGCGTCTTTCGACTTCAAAGAATGAGACATGTTCAAGACATGTTTAAGACGTGTTTAAGACATGTTTTGGCTGTTTAACTCTGCTTGACCCGCAACGCTCTCCGGGTCACCCGGCTCCTTGAACCGCTCGTTCTTGCGCAGGGACAGCGTGGGGGTGCGCTTGAGGCCCTTCATCCTGGCTCAAAAGCTTTGCATTCGATTCAATCTTCGTTCAGCCTAGGTCTGAAGATTGGGAGAGACGATGCGAGTCCTCTGCTCTCGGTATGGCCCGTGCTTCATGTCAAACCTGGGCACGAGGCTGGGGAATGTGGAAGGTAGGGCAGCAATGCAATTTTGACCCCAAAACCAAGAGCTGAAGCTAGGAGTCCACGAAGACACGCCAATCACGCCTCGACGAAGACATGACATCAGGCCGCGACACGAAGACGTCAGGAAGCGGCAAGGATACGACATGAAAGCGCGACACGAGGACACCGCGATGGGAAGACACGAGACACGACAGGAAGACACGAACCGCAACACATGGAACGATCCAAAGGCGACAGCAATGATGAGGGGCGTCACGACTCAACAAGAGATGCGACGAAGATGCGACATTCCAACAGCGACGACAGTTGCGCCACTTTTTCAACTCATGGTCAAGTTGCGATTGTCGTTTCTGACTACCGCTCATGTCCGCGGTTTGCTCCTAAAGGAAACGGGGCCGTGCTATTTCTTTTACTTTCAAGCAGACGATGAAGTCTCCTAATATTCAAAAACGAAAGTGAGCTCTTAAGTCTTCCTAGAAGGAGTAGCGCGGCTCTCTTCTTTGATATGCAGAATAAGACAAGCTCTGTCAACATTGTAATGAGCTCTTTCCTTACTTAAAAGAAAGAAGGGTTCTCTAGCATTTTGTGTATGTTGTACACGAATGACGAATAAGCGATGGATCATTGACTCTCTCATCCTTGTTAAGAGCAAGAATGCTCTCATTTCTTATTGAGAAAAAGCCTTCTTAGGACACGTGCCTTTTTCATTTGTTCACCATGAATTCGGACCAGGGCCTCCTTCAGATGCGGTTTTCTCCTCTCGAGACTCTTGATATGAAGGCTACTGGGACATCCACAATTCGGTCTGTTTTGAATCTTCCAATACCATTTGCTGTTCATGAACTTTTTGTATGGTCCCCATAAGTTTTAAGTCATATGTACAACAGAAATGAAGGCTGCATAACTCCGTTGTGCTTTGCTTAGTGGAAAACATGAAATCAGGTTCTACTTGCTTGCATGCGCTGTGTTGGCATGAGCCAGAACAGCAGAAATGCAGCGAATGGAAATCGGCTCTAAGCCCATACGTCTTGATCACACTGATGAGTCCTGATCACCCATTCTCGGGCCCTCTCTCTCTCAGGCATTCTACAGGATTGCTGGTGTGGGTGATGCACAGCTGGGGTCCTGGTACCCGCTTGCTTGCAGAGTATACGTGGCCAAGAAAGCCAAAAGTCCCGTGGCGTATGTGGGCAATCCACAAAGAGCAGCGCTGGCTCCACTGCGCAAGCCAGCGCGATTAGCCAGAGGGTGTCGTAGCAAGTGCGTGCTCAAGCAAGTCTGCAAGATGAGCAAGCGACCGGGCAAACGAGCAAGCGCGCAACTAGCCAGCATGCGTGAAAATATGCAGCGTGCAAGCAAGCATGCATAATGAGGCACGTGAGAGTGGTGCGTGCACGGACATGCAAGCAAACTTAAGTACATGCAAGCCCTCGTGCAAACAAGCGAGTTTGCTCACAGTGCACGGACCAGACAAGCAATCCATGTGTGCAGTATACGTGAGCGCAAGAGTGCCTGGGCATGCATGTTGCTGCACGCAAGAGCTCGTTTGTGTGCAGCAGGCATGCAAGCAGCATACCCATAGTGTGCATGCTCTCGTGAGGCTAATTACTTGGCCCACGGCTGCACGTCGTAGGTCCCATCGTAGTTTACAGCCGCGACCTTCCAAAAACAACCCTTGGCTGGAGAAGGGGCTAAGGCTTCAGGCTTGCAAGGTTGAGGATGCTCGTTTTTTAGTGTGAGAGAAGGTCTTGACGTCGGGTCCCACAATCAAGACGAGGGTTGAAATCAAGAGAGGAAGAGAAATTGAAATGACCAAGGGTGCGAAGGCGGCACAAATCAAAACTCTTGAAGCCCTTCTGACGAAGAGCTGAGCTCCAGCGAAGCTCTGGGTGCCAGGCAGTGGCTGGCTTCCACATGCCTCAGCCAGGGCAGCTAGTCTTAACGAACCAGGCAGGGCTTGTCACTTCTGGCAGGATTCTCCCCAAGCTCTCAAACTCAAAGCCTTCAGTCCCGAAACCCCTGATCCTCTCAAAGCCAGGTGCTTGGGATCCACGTCTGCTTGAAGAAGCCTCGGGGAAGGGCCCACCACGCAAAGCCATGTTCATGTTGTTCGCGCTGGGATCACCCGGTCGAAGCAACTCATAAAACGATGGGGACTACAATGATAACAGTAGACCACACACACAGGGCCACAAACAAGAAGCCTGGACTCGACCCCACAAGGTCACGTGTTAATAAGTGCCTGGTTGTTTCGGCTTTTCTTCTTTCATGGTCTGTGATGCCAGGCAAGTGCCGTAACAATATGGAAATTCCACGGACTGACTCAATGCCTCATGGCAGCTAAGCCGCCTGAGCGCTCTTCCCCAGCTTTGTAATTACTTCAGACCCCCTCCCCCACTCCCCATCCCCCTCTCAGCTATGCCACAAAACCACCGAGGCCAGGCAACTCCCCGAAGACATCCTTGAAATCTGAAAGAGCTTTGGGCAGCCAGGAAGCGGCCAGGCTTGAGAGCCTCGATCTTGGCACCCACCTGGAATTGAGCTGAGGAGGGTTTTGGGATGGTTTGGGGCGTGTTGGGCGGGGTTTTTGGGGGGAGCCGGGCAGCCTGAGAGAGTTGTAATGTTCGGGGTTGTTCACGACGGCTCCCCGAAAAGGGGGCCAGGGATTTGCCATGCAGCTTTGCTGCGCGACATAATGTCTCTTAATTAGCAAACCGACGACAACAAGAAGGGCAGACTTCCGTCTCCAGTTCAGGAGTCCCAAGCCCCAAGACGAGGTCTGCCATGTTCTGCTACAACCCCCAAAGCCCGAAATAACATCCCGTAAACTGTTCGACTTGAGTTTTCTGAACTGTGAGACTCTGAGAAGGTAGTACTACTCTCGCACCCGAGGCTGCCTCCAGCCCAGTTTCTGCCTCGGCAACTCAGCACGAAGCTATGTCACAGCTACTGCCTCTTTGAGCTCGAAAACTCACAGCCATGCTTTTGCCTCACCCGCGCCGTTCCCTTTCACAAGGCCCCTATGGAAACTGCAAAGCTTGGACCCCTAAGCCCTAGACCCTAGATGATGCATGAAGCGTTGCAAGAGTCCTAAAGTTAATGGTCGCTGCCATAGCAAGGCCCACCACAGGAACTACCCATACTACACAAACTGCGGCAGCGCGGCAGGTGCGACGCATGTGAAAGCACCATGAACATGGATGAAGGCAACATGAAGTCACGGAGTTACAGAATGCTTCGTGGGGTCTTGGTGTTCTCTCCTAGGCTTGTATCTTCCACCTGGCCACTTGAAGCTGCTGTTCCGATCGCTGCCGTCGCTGCCTTCTCTTTCTATGCCTGCTGGGTGCCTCATGGCACCCTGCCCAAGGAGCACACCGAAATCAGACCTACATCCCTGAGTTTCAAAAGAAGCCCCAAGCCACACAAGGCCCGCACCCCCATCGCTTGGCTGAGGAGGATAGGCCGGGCCGACAGGTAGCGGAAGGGAACCACTTTGCCAGACCTAAGACACACAGGTTGGCAAAGGTTTTTGTATACGGATGGTTGGGATTTTCTGAGGTTTCGAAAGGTTTCGACACTCTCGAAATCAGGCAAAGCACTTAGCCCCTAAGCCGATGATGTCACTACGTGAACCCAAACGAAATTCACCCGAAGAGCAAGATGGGCAAGCACACGCGTGGGCTTTGGTGGGTGACAGTACATCCTACTGCTTCCTGTTGTCTCGCTTCAAGTGTCTCTTCATCTCGTTAGGTGACAGAATGAGACAGACACCCTTTAAATGCACAGCGTAGCTACGTGAAAGCCAGCCTCCGATTGGCAGAGAGCTAGAGAGCCGCATAGGCCCATCTATGCATGAACGCTTATCGGCTGTATGTCACGAACCGAACACCCTCGCAAGCACGGGAGGTTTGACCAAGCTTGTGCGCCTGCTTCTCGTGGTCGTTGGCCAACTGACAGAACCTCCAACGAGCCTTGATGTGGCTAGGTTCTCACACCTCGATGGTGCTCAGCTATCGACATATGACTCGGACTCTAGCTCCGGAGCCTGCTGCATTTCTACTGGTATCACCCTCTAGCACCTTAGCAGTCTAACAGTTCTATGACATCAAAGCTGCTGGGAACTCGACTGAACCATAACACGAGCCAGCCGTGATGGTCGGGTTTGTCCATGGCTATGCATGCTTTATCTGAAGGAGCCCTCCAGAATTCCTTGATGGAGAGCTGTTTTTTTCAGGGTCTCGCCGGGACATCTACGTTGGACGGCGTATCGTAAAGTCTTAAGGCACAATTTGCCGCACGGCTGGCTCGAGACAAAAAACACTGTGGAACCCTACATTGGAAGAGCGCTGGATTGCTTCGCGCGCCTTTCCTATTGTAACAGTCTTGACTGTCGCAGCCGGCCCCCAAACCCGAACCCTCATTGGTTCTACTGTGGCTCTATTTTCGGAATTGGAGACTCAGCCACTCAGCCCAAGCAAAGGACATGGCCAGCGGAGATGCATCGAAACTTGAAAAGAAGGGTGCTTTGGGTCAGAGGTGCCTTACTACATCTAGAACATCCAACTATGTTAGAGGAAGGAAGTTTCTCGCGAGGGTCGGCGAATAAACTCATACCAGACCACTTCAAGAACATAGGCCTCAAGCACATGCGGACTGTGGGTCTAGAAAAGGGAACCTATTTCAGGCTTAGGGGCATGGGGGGAGAACAGTTTTCTGGAGCACCATGCAATAAGCGACAAAGTCATTGTGGCTTGTGCAGGGTGACAAGGAAGTCTACAAGCTACTTCATCTATGCCTGATTTGAATGAGTAGGGGAAAGACCTACAGACGCTCGCTGCAGCTCCGCAGCTACTTCCGGTCTTGACAGCTTGCCTAAACTCATTGCAGGCCACGCAGCATCGAGCTTCTGCTGAGCCCTCGTGGCCACTACTGGTAACAAACTGCCCTTGAAAGTCGGGACAGCACGGCTTGACAAAGC